CCACTCTGTCCCCAGCCCGTGGGGCTGCAGGGGGTTGTTGTGGCCAAAGTGCAGGACCCGGCCCTTGGCCTTGTTGAACCTCAGCCCAACTCTCCAACCTATCCAGGTCCCTCAGCAGAGCCCTCCTGCCTTCCAGCTGATGGACACTCCCCCCCTAGCTTAGTGTCACCTGCAAATTTGCTGATGATGGACTCAATCCCCTCATCTAAATCATCGATAAAGATATTAAACAGAACTGGGCCCAACACTGATCCCTGGGGACACCACTGGTGACTGGATCCCAACTGGATGGAGCCCCATTCCCCACCACTCTCTGGGCCCGGCCCTCCAGCCAGTTCCTGACCCAGCACAGAGTGCCCCTGTCCAAGCCATGGGCTGAAGCTTTTCCAGGAGAATGCTGTGGGAGACGGTGTCAAAGGCTTTGCTGAAGTTCAGACAGACACATCCACACCTTCCTCTCATCCACCAGGTGGGTCACCTGATCATAAAAGGAGATCAGGTTGGTCAGACAGGACCTGCCCCTCCTAAACCCTAAACATAAATGGCATTTGAGAGGAAATCCTAAGAGTGAAAAACAGTGAGGAGGAGAATCTGAGAGACAATACTGTCATTTTCCTCACTTGGATTTAAAATGAATCAGAATAGTTAAACCCCCTAAAAATGTTCTGTGATGGTCATGATGGTACAGCAGCACAAACCCAGTGCAAGAGAGTGAAAATGCCTTTTATTGAGAATTCAGCTTCATGGAAATAGCATTAAACTTTTCACGTAACTTCATCTGGAAATGATGGGTTGCAGTTTACTGCTGTTTTATTAATGTGGGCATGTCTAGAAAAATCCATGGAGGAAGCACTGTTTTAAAGAACACCACAGACTGAGCAGACCAGGAGCAGGACATGGCTCTGTTACCTCACCTGAGTGTGCCTGGGTCAGGATTTTGCAGGTAAGGTTCAGCAAAGGTCCTCTGCCAGGTCCAGGGCTGGCTCTGCATCACTCACCCCCCTACTGGGTTTCGAGGTGTTCTGAGCTGGTGCAAGATTCCCACCACAGAGCTTTAGTACGGTTTGAGCTGGAAGAATATGATCTTTTTAATTTATACCTCATTTATTATATATTTTTCTGTCTTTCTAATATGTTGGCTACGGCACATTAACTTCCAGGGACATCTGATTTAATCAGGGGGATTAAAAGTAGCTCTAAGGATTTATTGCTGACTTTAGGTGACTTAGTGACACTCTGCCTCTTTACTCTGTCCTAATGATTCCTTTGGGTTGTAATACTAGAATTTGCCAAAGCAGGATATTGCCTGGAAAAAAAAACCAAACAAAAAACACAACCAGCTGAAGTCTTAGGTTTTGGGTAGAAATGGGGTTTCATGGTTTCACATGAAATGAGGTTGCCTGGGTGTGCTGGTTTAAGAGTTAACCAGCAGGGGAAATGAACCCAACTCAAAGGAGAGATTATAAGTCAGAAAA